AATTAATATTATTAAAAATGCATTATAAAATAAGTAATTAAAAGCTGCTTATAATTATTAATATTATTATAATTTAAAAGCATTACCTTTATTATACTTAAAAGTTAATAATAATAATTATTAATTACCTTAATCTTAAATATTAATATATAAAAAGAAACTTATTAATATAATAATTATGCTAACTTAATATATTAATAGTTATAAATATAATTATTAATTACTAGCTAAGAGTAAAGAACTTAATAAATAAGCTTTTAAAAAGATTAAATTATATATATATAAAAATAGTTATAAATAAGTTATATAAGCCTTATAAGTTTATTTAACTAGCATATAATAATATAAATAAATATAATTATAAAATTAATTATATTAAAGAAAATTATAAAAATTATAATAAAGCGGTATAAAAGCAGAAAAGCTGCATTATATTTATAATTACTTAAGATTAAAGTATATATTTAAGCACCCTTTTATATTTAAATAAAAAGCAAAGCATAATAATAATAAAGAAGCTGCTTAAGCAGCTTATAAGGGCGTATATTATAAAATTGTAATAAAAGGATGCTTTTATATAAATTAAAATATAGCGTAAAAAGTAAGGGCGTAGCTTAAAAGCTAGAAAAGTATAATACTTAAAGGGCAACCTGCTTTTATTTAATAAAAGGGTATATATACTTAATAATCTGCTTATATAAATGGAATTATTATAAGTATATTATAATTATAAATTAATAAACTATTTTAGCATTAATAAATTAATAAAGCTGCTTATATAAAGCTATTTTTAAAAGTCTTTTTTAAAAGATATAAAGAACTTTATTAATATATATATAATATATTAATAAATTAAAATACTTAAGTATAAACTACTTAACTTTTTTATTGCTTTATTAATATTAAAGCAACCTTAGTAAGAAATTTTAACAAATTTTATTATAAAATTACTACTCTTAATTAACCCTTAAAATAATAAGCCTTATAATATTATTTTAATAATTATAAATAAGTTAATTAAATTTATTATTTATATTCTTATAATAATATAGCTTATAAGTAATAACCTTGCTAACTTATTAATATATTATGTTTTTCTTATTTATAATATACTTAACGGCATTATCTTTAATTAAAAAAGCTTATTTATTAATTACTTTTAAGCAGCGCTTTGTATTAACCTTATAATAATATATTGCTTAAGCATTGCATTTTACTTTTAAATAAATAATTAAATAAAGCATTAAAATTAAAACTTAAAATACTACCTTTGCATATATAAAAACATTACATAAGCTAATTAAATATAGCTACTTTTTAATATATAATTTATATATAATAATGCAATATACTTAATAATAAAGATAATATTATTATTTAACTTATTTAAATTTTACTTTAAATTACTTATAAATATTATTAAGCTATTTTAAATAAATATACTTATAATAAATAAAAAAGGTTAAGGTTTAAAAAATAAATATATTAAAATAATGCAATATTTAAGCTATATAAATAAGGAATATATAAAGTAATATAATTAACGCTATATTAATAAAAGATTTTAAAAAAAGGACTTAATAATAATATTAATTAAATATTTATAAGTAAAGCATAAAAGCAATAAACTTATTAATAAGTACTTAAAGCCTTTTTAAATAATTAAAGTAATTAGCTAATATAGCCTTACTTATTAATTAAAATTATTAAATTAATATAAAATATATAATATAATATTTATATTAATACTTAAATTATTTAAATTATGCATAAATAAAGCATAAAAGCTATATAAAGATATTAAGCTATATAAAGATAATATTTATAAAGTTAAGAAAATATTAAATTATAAAAACTTATATAAATAATAATAATATTTAATTTAATAAAAAACGTATAGCAATAAAGATAATTTATAAAAGCTATATAAAAATATTTATAATAACTTTTTAATTTAAAAATATAAGGAAATAATTATAAAAAATAAAAATATAAAAAGCTAATATAAGAAAAAATAAGAATTATAATAAATAAATAAGGAATATAAAAGCAACTTAAGTATAATAAAAATATGCAAAATATATAATTATTTAATTCTTTAAAAAAGTTAGGGTTAAAATCAAGCCCCTTTCTTGCAAAAAGCATAAGTACATTATAAGCATAACGTGGGTATAATGTAAGCATTGCTTACTTTTCCTTTTTCTTTTTCTTAACAACTTTAATAGCAATGGCAACCTTACAATACTTATATATTATAAATAAGCAATATATGCTTATTAAGGATTTATTAATGCCCTTAAGGGTAATAATAATATATTAATTAAGGAATAGCAGCTTATTATTAATAATAATAATAATAATAAGCAATATAAGTATAATGGCAATAATAACCTTATCTTTAAAAAAAGCTTAAATAATAATAATAATAGCATTAACATTCTTAATTATAAGGGCGGCCTTAAGGGCATTAATAATTATAAAGGGGATTTAAAGCATTATTAATAATACTTATAAGCTATAAATAAGCTATATATATAATTTAAGGAATAATTATACTTTATTATAATTACCTTTATTTACTTTATAATAATATTAATAATAATAATTAATTTTTATATTATTATTAATTATAGCTAAGCTTTAAAAGCAATGTATAAGTATAATGAAAATAAATTATTTTAATTAAAGTAAATAAGTTTTAAGTTAGCTTTTAAGGTATATATACAATGCATGCATTACTTAAAAGCAACCGTAAAAGCACCCTTTATTACCGGACCCTTAGTTTTTTTTTTTAAGGCATTATGCTTTTATTAACAATGCTTATAAGCCTTATATGCATAATAATTATACTATATAAGCAAAAAGAAGGTAAGAATATATAAAGGGGCTTAGTTAATTAACTGGCGGGCTAGCGGAAGGGCTATGCTTATTATTGCCGGGCTAAGCACTATTAATTAATAAGCAATGCTTACATTAAAGTTATGACAGTATCTATGTATTTTGTATCTAAAAATACAAAATACATAAATATATGTATTTATATCTAAAAATATAAAATACATAAATACATGTATTTATATCTATATTTAAATACTATATTTATATTTATATTTATATTTATATAGGCCTTGTATTTTATATTTATATTTATATTTATATTTATATTTTTAAAATTTTAAATTTATATTTTATATTTAAAATATAAAATATAGATATAAATACAAGTTATATAATATTTAATTTAAATTTTATTATTTTAAAAAAGAAAGAAATTTTAATTAAATTCTATTTAATTTAAGCATTTTAAATATATTTTTATTTTATTTATATTTAAATTTACTAAAAAGCTATAAATATTTTATATTTAAGGGGAAAAAACCTTAAATAAGATAAGACTTAAATAAGAAGATAAGCCTTTTTTTTAAAAAAAAGTACTTTTATATTATATATAATGTCTTTTTTAAAAAAATATAAAATTAAAAAAATATATTTAAATAGCTAGTTTTAAGCTTATTTTAAAAGAATTTATACTAGATTTAATTAATTAATATTTATATATAATGTATTTTGTATTTATATTTTATATTTATATATTTAAATATATATATTTGTATTTGTATTTGAATTTTTGTATTTGTATTTATATTTTGTATTTTTAAAATTTTATGTATTTATATTTGTATCTGTATTTTATATTTTATATTTTTTATATTTTTACAACTCTGGCTTATATGTCATATAAATATTGCAGAAATGCTATGCGGAATAATAAAAGGCTAATACTTATAAAAGATAAACTTAAAATATTAAGGTTAAGGGTAAAGCTAAATATTTAAAAACCCTTTTATTAACCATTGCATATAAATATGCTGTAGCTATTGCATAGCTACCATAATACCGCTTAAGAAGAAATACTTACTTTATTATTATTATTATTATTATTATTATTATTATTATTATTATTATTATTATTATTATTATTATTATTATTATTATTATTATTATTATTATTATTATTATTATTATTATTATTATTATTATTACTTTATAACTTATTAATATATACTTAATATAAGCATTATATATATATAATAAATAAAGTAAAAGGTATAATTTATAATATAAGTTTAAGTATAAATATAAGTATAAATATAAATATTATGCTTTATTAGCGCCTTATTAAAGCTAATTATATTAATAAAGGATATATTTATAAAATAAGTTAATGTATATTAAATTAAAAAAGAAAAAAAGAGAAAATATTAAAAAAAGGCAAAGATTTAAATATAATATAAGAGCGCAATAAATGCATTATTATTATATTATTTATATAATAAAATAATATAATTATTATATAAATAATTATAATTAAATAAAAAATATAATAAGAATTAATAATATTTCCTTAATATATTTTATAATGCTTATAAATTATAATTTTAATATATATATAACTTATTATAATTATACCCTTTTATTTATTATAAAGTAAAATAAAATATTTTTTATTATCTTTTTAATTATAATTATTTAAAACTTTTACCCTTTATTTATACTTTATATATATTTTTTTTAATCATTATATATATTGCTATTTTTAAGATAAGAACTTAAAAGAAAGGGTAATTTATTAAGAATTTTTATATAAAAAAAGGGATTAGCTTAAAAAAAAACCTTTAATACTTATCCATTTTAAAAAATAACGCAGCTTTTTTAATACTTAAAAGCATTATAAAAGCTGCTCCCTTTATAAAAAGAAAGAACCCTAAGGATAAAGAAAGGAAGAAGGAAAGGAATTAAGTTTAGTTATATCTTACTCTTTAAATAAACTACTTAAGCGCTTCTTACACGCCACTTATACGCTATATATCCCTAGTCACTCTGCTTATATTCAACCACCCTTATATTAAAGTCCTTAACAATCTGTGGCCCTGGCATACGAACGTAGCAATTTCGAAAGTCTTGGGCCAGTTTCAACGCAATTAATGGCAATTATAATATTACATGTCTATGCGCTGCGACAAGTGTCTGTGGCAAGGCTCGAGAGGATGGACCACCTTCTGGAGAATCTCCTCCTTCCACTTATCCGGCGGCGCACTCAATATCCCACCCAAGCACCACCCGACAGCAACAGCATACTCATCGACCTCTCCATGCCACTCCTTGGCTGCCGCGACGTCGAATGTCCTCTCGATCGGATCACAGCCGGAATTCAAGTGCTTGGTCCTGTACGGCTGCTCTTCGAGCAGCTCGCCAAAGCACAGCTCCAGGAGCACGATTCCCAGCGCCTCCAGAGAGGATGAAAGCTGCATTCTGCAATCACGTTCTGTCAATGGTCCACTTTCCGCCTGCGGGGCCAGATGGTGGTTGAGATGAGGCTGGTCGAGTGCATATCGCCCCGGCTGCTTTGAACCCTGATAAAAGACAATGTCGGATTTCTTCCAGGAGGCTGGTAGCCATGGCGACTCAAGTAGTTGCAGAAAGGACGAGGAAAGAATCCATGCAAGTGCGAACCGATGTCTGCGTTTTGGCATGGGCAGCCGCTGTTTGCGGAGGAGTTGGTCCAGGGTGATGAAGTTGGGCGATAAGACTGGCCTGTCCGAATCCTTGTATACGAAACACTGACAGTCATCTTGTGGTAGGTATCCGCAGAATACCCCGTCGGTCTGGTCTAAGGAGAGACAAAGGCTTGTTATTGGACCAGGTCCTTGAGTGGGTGCTGGCAAGGCAGCCGACTCAAATGGAGAGAGAGTGATTGACGGCGGTGGTCTAGACGCGGCCTTGTTAGCGCCAGGAACCAGGATCATATCACCGTTAATTACAGTTCATTACCTCAAAATGGAATTTTCATTTGGTTCTCTGCTGTTCCGCATAGCAGAAATTGTCGGAGAAAAGTTTTTGTGGTTCGGCTCAACGATATAGGCAATTCCTTGTAAGGCAGGATGCTGCATGGGCGATGATAAACTGACCGAAACCTTGCTTCCTGGGGATATCCTAATCCTGCGCAAATCATGGCGTGGCTGGATTAGTTTCTCGAACAACAAGTTGAATTCGGATGTGTCTCTGGTCCTATGCTCCAGCAGTAGTTTTGTCGAATGCTGCGCCCGACAATTGCACTTCCACACTGTGGACAGTGCTCTGAAAATCATGCTTGCTTCACGCCATAATTTGCAGAGTGCGGTGTTTCACAGTTTCAAATTCTTCAATGCTCGGTTCTGTGCGAGTTGATTATCGTCTTTGCTTATTTGGAGGAGTGTTTTGAGTCTTTCGTTGCAGTTTTGCAACTCCGCGAACAGGCGGTCTCTTTCCTTTTCCCCCTTGGCTAAACTTCACACGATATACCTGCCACTTGGTCTTAGCTTTGATCTTTCCTGATGTTGAGCCAACCTGTTGGGAGACCTATTCAGCCACGTCAGTTCCCTGAGGCCAAGGGCCAAGTAAATCTCTGGACAGGTTTCGCGTCACTCGCCTGCGCCGTCCGGCTTTGAGACTGACCAGGCTCCAGAGCAAGCTCATGGTTAATCGCACCAAGTGCCTCCTTGAATTCAACCATGCATTGCAAATAAAGCTCATACGAACTTCCAAGGCGTTGCTTCAACATGGAGGTGGTTTCATCCTTTTTCCAGGCCTGGCCTCCAGGATCATCCAGCAGCTCCTCGATACCCGCATCACCAAGCATTGCCATAGGGAGGAGGAGATGTCTCAAGTTGTTGATATATAAGAGGCGTTGGAATTGAAGTTTAGAGTCACATTTCTGATACTCAGCAGCGATTCTGAGCCAGAACCCAAGACGTCTGGCTGCCTCTTTGTATTTGTCGAGTACTTCGAGGGCGATGGGAAATGTGCCCAGCACGAGGCCGGCAATCTCCAAGCCCGACATGACAGGATCAAGTAGTCCGATTCATAGGCGAATGACTGGTCTTTGAGATTGAAAGCTGATGATAGGGGAAGAATCAAACGCGACATGGGGCACGATGGGCTGAGGAGGGGCGCTGCTGCATGTCAGCAACATGTGTGAAACAATGGATGTGCCTCGGACCGTTTCCCATAGCAGCTCTTCGGAGCCATTGGATGGGACAATTGGGCCTGCTGACGACCTGGCAACATTGGAGCTTACACCCCATTCGGGAAGCATCGCTGTTGGTAGGTCTCTCGTATATATAATAATCATATGGGAAGCAATTATATATTAGTATTATTTTATTTAAGTTTTAAAAGGCTATATACCTTAAAGGAAATAATTAAAGTAGCCTTTTAAATATAAAAATTATATTTATTAATACTTATAGTTTTTCTTTTTTTTTAATAAATATATATAATTTTTATTATAATTAATAATTTTTATTATAATTAATCTTAAAATTATAATTTATTATATATTAAATATATATAACTTTTATTATAAAAAAATATTATTAAAAAAGCTTAAAATTATAATTTATAAATTTTAAAGTAAGTTTTAATAATTCTTATTATTATATTATTTTTTAAACTTATAATTTTTATTATTATATTATTTTTTAAATTTATAATTATTATTATTATATTATTTTTTAAATATTATATTTATTATTTTTAATACTTAGCTTTTAAAATTGCTTTTTTATAAAAATTATTAACTTTTATATAATAATTTTAATTTTAAATTTTTTTTTATAAGGAAAATTAATATTTATAAAATTAATATTAAATTTTTTAACTTATATTTATTTTTATTATATATTTTTATAATATAAATATTATTATTTTTATTTTTATTTTTATTATTAAAATATATTTAATATTATTTTAAATTAATTTTCTTTAGCTATTTTTTATTTTTTTAAAATTAAATATTATAAATAATTTAATTATTTATTATTATTTTTTTATTTTTTATTATTTTTTTAAATTTTTTTAATAATTATTTTTTACTTAAATTACTTAAATAATAATATATATTTTTTTAATAAGTTTCTTTATATATAAGCTTTATATATATTTATTAATAATTTAATATAAAAAGTTTTAAAGCTAAATTAATATAATAATTTAATTTTTTAATAATTAAATTTTTTTAATTTAATATATATAAAAAATATTTAAAATTAAAACTTTTATTAAATTATTTATTATAAAAATTATAATAATTAACATTTAAGATAATAATTATTTTAATAATCCTTATTATTAAAAATATTATATAATTTTATATTAAAAATTTTAATACTTTTAATATAAATATATAGCTTTTTAATTATATTATTAAAAAATATTTATTTATTTTAATATTAAAAGTTATTAATAATTTAAATAATAATTATTATAATAATATTATTTAAGAAAAGTATTTTAACTTAAGTTATAATTATAACTTTTAATTTATTAATTTTAATAATTCCTTAAAAGTTTATTTTAATAAATAATTTACTTTTTTTAATGCTTAATATAAAAGTAAAATTAAAGATAATTTTTATAATTTTTATTAAGATTTTATTAGCTTAGTTTTAATTATTTTTATTATTAATAATAATTAAATTATTATTAATATTAAATAAATAAAAGTTATTATTATTAATATTCTTATTAATATTTATTAAATAAATAAGTAAATAAAAGTTATTATTATTAATATTTTTATTAATATTTATTAAATAAATATTATTAATAATAACCTTATTATAAAAATTAATAAAATTAATAAGCTTATTTTTATTTTTATTAATTAAAATAATTTTAGCTTTTTTTATAGCTTTAATAATAATTTTAATCTTTATTTTATTATTTAATAAAAATATAATTATAATATTTATTTTATTAATTAAGGTTATAATTATAATATTTATTTTATTAATTAAAATTATAATTATAATATTTATAAAAGAATTTTAATTTTATTTAAGGATTATAATAAGGCTATTTTTAATATTAATTATATTAATAATAATAATAATAATAATTATATTAAATATATTCTTAATATAAATAATAAATATAATATTTATTAAATAATTTTTATTTATTATTATTATTATTTTTATAAAGCATATTAATAAAAGTATTAAATAATTTTTATAAGTTATTATTAATATTTTTTATTATAATAAAAAAAAAAGATTTTATAAAAATTTAATAATTAAAATAAATATTTATAATATAAAACTTTATAATTATTATATAATAATTATTAATTTATTTTTTAATTATAAGAAAAGTTATAAATTATAAATAAATTTAATAAAAGTTAATTTTAATATTATTATTAATAAATAATAATAAAAAGTAATAATAATAATAAAATTAACTTTAAAATAATAATTATTAATAATATTAATAATTATAAGATTATCTTTATATATAATAAAATATTAAAAAGGTTTTAATTAAAGTATAAAAAATTAAAGTTTATATTAAGGGTTTAAGTTTAAAAAATATAAAGTTTTATAATTAATAATAATAAAATTAAAAAAAAAAGATATTAATAATAAGTTATTCCTTTTTTAATAAAAAAAAGCTACTTTAAGTTTTTTAATTAACTTATTTACTTATATATAAAGCTTATTATTATTAATAAGATTTTATAATATAATATTTAAAGTTAATTTTATTATTATATTAATAAAATTATTTTTTTTATTTATTTACTTTATTTTAATAATTTTTTTTATTTTATATAATTTTTATAATAATATAATATTAATTATAAAGTATTTTTTTTTTATTATTTTTAGCTTTATAAGGTATTTATATAAATTATATAAATTTATATAAATAATTAAAAATATATTTAATAATAAAAATTATTTTATAATTATTTTAATTATTATAATTAAAGAAATTTTAATATTTACTTTATTTATTATATTATAAATTTTACTTATTAATATATTTTAAATAATATATTTATATTTTATTAATAATTAATAAAAAATATTATTTATTATTATAAATTTCTTAATTTCTTTATAAATTTTATTTATAAAAATAATAATATATTTAAGTTAAAATATTAAGTTTTAATTATTTATATATAATTAATAAAATATTTATTTAAATTTTAATTAATTTAATTTATTATAAATATATTAATTTAAAATTATAATTTATAATTTTTATAAAAAAAGCATTAATAAAATATTTAATTACTTATTTAATAAATATTTTAATAAATTATATATAATAAAATCTTTATAATAATAATTTTTTTATTATTTATTATAAAAATTATATAATATAAATATAAATAATATTTAAAATATTGCTAAATTTTTATTAATAATACTTAAAAGTTTTTCTTTAAATATAAAATATTTATATAAAATATAATAATTAATTAACTTATAATATTATAATTTAATTATTATAATTTAAGCTAAAGAAAAATTAAAATAAATTAATAATAAGCTTTATAATACTTTATTAACCTTAAAATTAAATATAAATAAATATTATATATAATTTTAAAAATAATAATTATAATTATAATTTTTATAAATATTATAAGTAAGCTTTAAATAATAATAATTATTAAAAAAATAATTCTTAAAATAATTTTTATTATTATTATTAACTTTAAATATATAATTATAAAATTTAAATTTAATAATATAATTTATTAAAAATTAATATAATTAATAAAATTTATTATTATTAATAAAAAAATAAAAATAAAGTTTATATTAAAAATATATATTATATTTAATATAATTTTAAGTTATTTTAAAAATATCTTTATTAAATAAAAAGTATAACTTATATAAAACTCTTTTTTTATAATATATTTTTAATAAGTATTTAAATTTAATAAAGTTAATATAATTTATAAAGCTTTTTAATAATTTTTATAAATATATTAAGAATTTATATAATTTATTAAATAATAAAATAAAAATATTTTTTAATATTTATTATTATATTAAAATTTAATTAAGTTAATTTTATATAGTTTTTCTTTAAATATTTAAAAATTAAGTTAAAATATATTATTTTTATTTTATAAATTAAATTAATATATTTATAATAATATATTTTAAAATTAAAATATATTTTAATATAAACTTTAATTATTAATATTATTATATAAATTAAATAATAATAATATTTATAAAAATAAAAATATAAAACTTAAATAAAAATTTATATAAAGTTTTATATTTAATATTTAATAAATTATAACTTTATTAATAAGTATTAAATTAAAATTATATTAAAAAGAATAACTTAAAAATAATAATAATTAAAACTTATAAAAAAGTTTTTAAATTAAAAATAATTCTTTTTAAGTTAACTTAATTATATAAAGAATTATTTTTAAACTTAAAATTTATAATAAAAATATAATTTAATTATATAATTATAATTTATATTATAAATAAAGTTTTAAATTAATATTATATTAATTATAAATATAATAATTAAAAGTTAAGAAAAAGATAATAATTATAATTTTAAATATTTTAAAGAAATTAAAAATTTAATTAATTAAATTTAAGCTATTTAAGCTTTAAATAATTAAAATTTTATAATATTAATTATAAAGCTTAAAATAATAATACTTATAAAGAAAAAAGAAAATAACTTTAAAAGAAAAAATATTATATTTATAAAAAAAAGAAATATTAATTAATTAAATATTTAATTAATAAGCAATATTTAATAAAAAAAAGCTACTTAATATAATATAAATATAAAGATAATAATAATAATTTTAATATTTTTTTAAAATAAATTTAAAAAATATAAAATAAATAATAAAAATAAATTTATAAATATAAAAATAAATAAAATTAAAATAATAATTATAATAATAATACTTATATTATAAAAAATAAAAACTTAATAAAGAAATTTATTATATAAATATTAATTTCTTAATTAATAAAGTATTTATATATTAAATTA